ATTCTTGTCTGCATCCTGTTTGAGAGTCGTTACCGCTACTTTATTCTCCTGTAATTGAGAAAGTTTGTGTTGTTCATTATTAGACGGGCTTAACTTTCTATTTTCGGTATTGCATTGATTTGATTTTTATTTAATGCAGAATATTATAATTTTCTTTTGCAATTGAAAATATATTTTTTTTAGTTTCATGTGTCTTCTTGTGGATGTGTATTTCTGTGTAGGTGTGTATGTAGTTTGTTACGTCAGCTTGGCACAGCGACAGAGTATTTATAAGTCGGATTTTCCTCCACTAAATTACCCTCACTTGCCTTATTGAACAAAGAAGCTTACCTTTTGAGAGCTGGGCACACATTTCTTGGACTTATCTAATTTTTCCTTTTCTTTTTTCTTATCTTTCTTTTTGTCCTTTTTCTTGTCTTTCTTCTTATCTTTCTTCTTTTCTTTATTTTCTGAAACGATGTCTGGTACTTCGCTTTTGTCGATAGTCTCTTTCTTATCTGCATCCATTTCAAGAGTCGGGCAGGGCTTTATTTGGTAAAGCTCGGTGGAATCTTTTTGTTTTTCATCTTTTTTATCAGAAGGGTTTGAATTATAAACTTTGTTTTGCTCAGTTGTCTTTGGTGACGGATCTGATTTCTGTAAGAGATTACAACAATTAATATAAAAGCAGTCAATATAAACAGTTATTGTTTTTGGCTTTATCTACCTCTTGAGAACCTGGAGCAACACTTTTTGCAGAGTGTATTAAAGAAATCTTGGTTCCTTGCTCTTTAAATTTTGGTGATTGACCTTCTTCTTGTAGACTGGTAGATGGGTTTAAACTTTCGCCATCGACTAGCTTTTGCTCAAATGTTTTTGGTGGCAGATCTGTTCCATACAATTTTTTCTGTAATTGACAATAATAATTAGCTATCACGGTAAACATTTATGCTGAATATAAGATACTTACCTCTTCAGAATCTGGAACAATAATTTCTTCAGAGTGAAGTAAATTTATGTTGGCTCTTTGCGAAATTTCCCTTTCTTCCTGCTGTTTTATTTCAACAATTTGTTCTTGTCTTTTTAATATGTCTCCTGACACCCCTCGCTTATCAGCTGCCATTTTATTGCATGAATCCGTCTTAAAGGTCGAATAAGACCTGTTTTCATCTAGTTCCTCCCTGTCTTCGGTAAGCGTTGACATAGCTTGCTGTAGCTCAGGACTTTTCTGATCGTTATTCCTAGAACGGCTTAGCTGTTCATCTTCGGTAATTGTTCGAACAGTTGTCGTCTGTAATTTACGTCGTGCTTGATTTAATTGATACTATTCAAAAATTATTTATAATTGTTGATACCAGACAAGTGTATTTATATGAACATTACCTTTTGGGAGCCTGGTATTGAATCTGTTTTAGAGCTTGGTAATATGATTTCTGATTTATCTGAATTTTCCATTCCATTTTTATTTTCCTTTCTGTCAACTTGCTTCATGTCTCTCTTTGTTTTTATTTTTAATTGGTCATCAGATGAACTTTGCTTGAGAGTTGTATCTTTCTTGGCTGCATCCTTTTTAATAGTCGGGCTAGGCCTATTTTTGGCTAGCTCCTTGCCATCTTTTTTTGCCAATGACGCATTGTCGTATTGTAGAGGAGGCTTTTGTTTCTCATCTTGGTTTCTGAAAGGCTTTGAATTTCTAACATCGACTATTTTCTTATCAGATGTTTTCATTAACGGATCCGACTCTAATAGGTTCTTCTGTAATATACAATAAGAAATAATTTATTTTCTTTAATTTTAGCAATTCTGTCGGTCATAGTTATAACAATCTTACCTCATGAGAACTTGGAACAATAATTTGTTGGGTCTTGGTCTTATGCGGAATTTCTTTTTCTTTTCTCGGTTCTTTCATATGTTGTGTCACCTTTTCTTTGCTCCTTGGCATATCATTTATTAAAATCTCTTTGCAAGTCGGCTCTTTTTTGCGAACATCCTTTTCAAAAGATGGGGAAAGCTTATTTTTGCTCAGCTCCCTGGGGACTTTTCTTAACAAAGATTGATGCTCTTGTTGTTGAGGCACTTTTTGTTTCTCATCTTTATTAATAATAGGGTTTACGTTTCTACCATCAACTATGTTTTGCAGCGCTGGCTTCAGTAATTGATCTGTCTCAAATTGTGTTTTCTGTAAGAGAATAAAGATTGTTATTGGGATAACGATTTATAAAGTTGTACTAAATAATATCCTTACGTCATCTGAGGCTGGAACAAACATTTTTTCAGAGTGCAGAATACTCATGTTGGCTTTTTGCGAAATTTCCCTATCTTTTTCCAGTTTTTTTGTTTCATCAATTTTCTTTTCTTTTCTTTTTAGTATATCGCCTGACTCTGCCCGCTTATCAGCTGGCACTGTCTTTTCTGTGTCCTTCTTCGAGGTCGGGCAGGGCCTATTATCATCGAGATTCTCATAGTCTTTGATAAGCGATGATTTATCCGGCCGTAATTGAGGAAGTTTTAGATCGTTATTTCTCGAAGTGCCTAACTGTTTATCATAAGCAGTTTTTCGTACAATTGTCTTCTGTAATTGATTGTAAACAGAATATATTTTTTTTATATTTTGGAGAATAGTCGACTAATTTAATTATATATTTTTTCAAGAACTTACCTCTTGAGCGCCCGTTACAATGTTGACAGTCCTTTCAGATTTTTCCCTTTCATTAGTATTATGTTGTCTCGGATCTTTCTTTATTCTGATTTTTAGTTGATCATCTGATGAGCTTCGCTTGAGAGTTGTTTCTTTTTTATCTATATCTATTTTAAAAGTCGGACAAGGTCTATTTTTGACTAGAACCTTTGGATCATTTTTTATCCATAGTGACTGTGGTTGAGAAGGTATTTGAATGTCATCTGTGTTTTTAAAGGGGTTGAACTTTTGACTCTCGGCCGTATTCTGCTCAGATGTCTTCAGTAACACATCTGATTTAAATAGCTTTTGCTGTACCAAATAATTATAAAATGATTGATTTTCCTAACATCAAATGTTTTTGGACTTAATTTCAAGAGATGCTTACCTCTTGGGAACTCGGAATAACATCTTTCTGTAGTTGAGGATGTTTATGTTTCATATATTTAGAATGGCTAAGCTTTGTATCAACGACAGCTTTACGCTGAGTCATCCTCTGTAGCTCAGCCACATCTACTTCAGAGCCTGGCACTATGTTCATCGTGTGAGTTGGTACTTCCAATTCTTTTTTAATGTTAGTATTCTTGGCGTGAGACTTCTCTTTTATATTTGATTTGTCATTCTTGTTGCTTTCATCTTTTTTGTCTATATCCTTTTTAACAGTCAGGCAAGGCCTTTGTTTGCCAAGTTCCATGGGATCCTTCGATACCGATGCTTTATCTTCCTTTTGCTTAGGCATTTTCTCCAGTCTGTCTTTAGTCTTAAAAGGATTTGAAATTTTACCATCGACAATGTCTGGCTCGGTTGTTTTTTGTAACGGATAAGATGCATATAGTTTTTTCTGTGAGAGACAATTACGACTAGCTTATTAGAGAACAGGGTTAACTTTTATTAATTTTTAAAAAATATGCTTACGCTTATGCTTAGTGAAGATATGTTGGTCGTATGTGAAATTTCTCTTTCCTGATCTTTTTTATAATTTAGCGTCTTATCTGATAAACATTTATTTTCACTTGATTCCTTTGCTTCTGCACCCTTTTTAAAAGTCAGACAAGGCCCATTTTAATAAGTCCTGCAGGAATAGATTGTTTAAAATTCTTACCTGTTGTAAGCCTGGAACAATATGCTTTTCAGTGGGTGGTACCATTTTCTTATCAATTGAGGGTTCAGTTTCATTGGCTATTTTCTGGACCTTTTTCTTAAATGTCATTTTGAGCGTCGTTGATATGGCTTCTGAAAAAAGTCCTTTGTCAATGACTTTTTTGTCTGCATAGAACGGTGGAGGTTTATTTTTATCAAGCTTCATAGGGTCTTCAGCTACAGACGCTTTCCGTTGGTCAAAAGGGGCTTGTTTAACATCAATGTTTTCAAAAGACTTATGCTTTGCATCATCATCGGCCGTGTTTTGTCCAATTGTCTGCTGAAATCGATTGGGTGCTACCTTTTTTCCCTGTTAAAGACAAATACAAGGTATATTTTAAGGTTATTCTTTATGAATTGTTAATAGGAAATAATTAAAATTTAAAATAATGGTAATAACCATAGACATCAAATATTACCTTTTGAGCATCAACGTTTACTCCGCATTTCGATATGTCTTTACCGGCCTTATCCGTTGTGGGGTTTCTTTCTTTGCTTACAGACATTTTCCTAACAGTTGGTCCTTTCTTCTTTGAAACAGTTTTTGGTTGTTGTTGCTGACATTTCTCGATTACAGATTGTTGTTTATCCAATTGCTTTTCAAGTTCTTTCCGCTCAGTATTCAGCTCTCCATCTTGTTTTTCTTGTAGCTATTGAATATTCGTAGACATAATATATTAATATAAAAAAAATATCTTCCGTACGCCGAAAATCATAGCTTAAAAATGAGACACCAGTTATCTTATACTATACAAGGGTATAAGAAAAGGTATGTTTTAAAAGGGTATAAAGAAGTGCATTTACCTTTTGGGCTTTCCAGATTCCTTTGGCTTTAAGGCCAACTGTATCGGATGCATCCTGATTGCCCTTTTCCATTGATGCCTTTTCCATCTTCGTATAAGATTGTGTTTTGCATATATCGTCTTTCGTATTTAAAACAAGTTCCTTTTTGAGTTGCTGCTGCTGCATATCAATTGATTCCTTATTATTTTCCTTCTTAAACACAGTCCTTTTTTTTTGGGGTAAATTTTTCTGAAGTCCTTCTTCGAGCCTTTTCTTTTCCAAGGACATTAATGTATTGTCGAATTCTTTTTGCATTGTTTTATTTGCAGCTACATTATCATCTTGTTTTTCTTGCAACTTCGGCAGCTCGCCAGATTTAAAGTTGGCAACCGGTTCCTTTTGTTTTTCCTGTGACAAACGATTAAAAGTTAAGAGTAAAGAATAACATTAAAATGGGGCATTCGTAAGGACATACATGTATATTTATCTTTACATTTCGAGAATCCACGCTTATTTTGCGAGGCCTACTCGACGACTTCTTAGTAAATACTGACGTATCAATTGCCTCATCGAAGGACTTGAATTTCTTAGCAGTATCAATTTTCTTCTCGGTTTTCTGCCGGTTTGCACCATCCTCCTGTGGTTTTACTTGACATTTGGGCGTTTCATCAGATGTTAAATTGGCATTAAACATTTCTCTCTTTGCCATTGTCTTAGTTTCTTGCTCTTTGCTAACATTTGTTAATGGTTTAACAACTTTTGTATCATCGAACAGTTTTTTCATATCTTTCAATTTTCCTTGATCTTCAAGCTTCTGTTGGGCTTCTAGAATTTGGGTACTTCTTTCTCCAACTCTTACTTTGATGTCCTTTTGCTTCTCTTTCTGTCGGCTCTTAGCTTCCTTTTTTTTTAAGTTGACTTTTTCTTCCTCCATTAGATCTTCTTTAGCATTTATTGATATCTTTGCTTTAGCTTTCGTAACATCTGATAATGTTTTTTTAGTAGTTGTATCTATAACTTTTCCAGTTTTAGTATTGGACTTCGTTGTTTGTCTATTACTTAATTGTTTTGAAGATGACGACACTCTGTTCTCCGAGATCTTCTTGACAGGGTCTTTAGTTGGCGGAGCTTGTTTGGCATTTTGCGACTGTGGATTCATTTGTTCTTCACTTTTATTATCCGTTATTTTCAATTTCTTACAATCAGGCTCTTTCGACTCCGTTTTCCGCTGCGATGGATCTAATGCATTTGTTTTTTTCTGCGTCTAACGAAAAATAATGATTAATATAGATACGTTTGGTTAACAGACAAATATATAAATGAACTTATTCTTACTCTCTGAGCATCCAGGCTTAGTTGCCTTTTTATGCCACTTTTTTTGGTATTATCCTTAGTGGCCCCACCGGACGTTGCTTTGACTTCCTTCTTAGTAACGGGCGCTTTATCCAAAGCTCTTTTCTCGTTAGAAACAATTTGCTCTTGAGACTGCTGACATTCTAGATTGAGCTTATCGTCAGATTTTCTCTGCTCTGTTGTTCGCTGAGTTCCAAGACCTCCTCGTTGGTTTTCTTGCGATTTTAGTTTTTCTCCAGTTTTCGAATTGGCATCCCGTTTCTTTTATTTTTTGCCGGATAAATGAGCGCAGATTTTATTAGTGAATACATTTTTTGATATAAAAGCTTGTCATAAGATAAGAAATTAATTTATGGTTAATATTTACCCTCACTTCCAATTTTACATTTCTTTTTGAACCCGACGCATTGATAAAAGTTTCTTTTGTTGGGTTTCCCTCAATTTTGATACATTCTTTGCTTTCTATTGCATTTCGTTCTTTTAATGCACTTTCCCATCGACGCGACTGAGCTTTCGCTTTCTTCGCGTTACCCCCTATTTCATGCCCCTGTTGTTGTGGGGTTTCTTTAACGCTTTTCACATCTCTAAGCTTCACTTTGTCATCGGTATCTTTCTTGTCGGTTTTCTTACGAGTTGCTTTTTCTTCACCTTTTTCTTGTGCCTTTGCCTTTTGATTGCCATGTTTTCTTTCATGTTCCTGTGATTGTAAGAAAAGAACTTTTTATTTTTGTTTTTCTTTTTGGTGGTTCTGTTCCTTAGTTAGTGGACCTTCAAAAGCCACACAGCGTAGTTAATTAATTAATTAATAACAAATTAGTACTTTGGCTTGTACGTTGTTTCAGCTCTGACAGCAATCGAGAAGTCGATCTACGAGTGGAACACAAACTTAATCTCGTTTCCGTTTAAATAAGCAAATACTCATGCACAAGCCATACATACATAGCTTGTTTTGTCCATCAACACTGTCATTCTGGGTTCAGCACACATGCACTAACCTTGATTACCTTATTTTCTGGACAAGTGTCCATCTTTTTTTCCGCTGTGCTCGAACCAATGCACGAGGATACCTGACTATCCGGTACTAGACTGTCGGCATTCTCTGCCATTCTTCCATGTATTTAACTCTATACCTTTCGCGCACTTTTTCACATGTTCACTTTACACTTAGTTAGACTTTAACTTATAATATACACGGTTGAAAACTTTTGATGGCAAATAAAATAGCGGACGTTTTAGAATTTAATGACACATTCCAATTCGCATGTGATGCGAGACAAATTGACTGGAAAAGTGTTGGGTAACTCGATGACACTTGCTTAGAGCTTGCAGTTGCAGCTTGGCATATGTGTGGGATAACTCGATAACGATTAATTGGTAATATCGATCAACAGTCACTAAGTGTAGGACAATAACAAAATAACTTAGGCCGTGACCAGCACTCAAGATAATAGTTTTTTTTTTTGTTGTTGTCAAGAAACGAACGACAGGATTGAAGAGCGGTGCGATCAGTGTTAAATATGAGCTCAATATGTAGCTAGCTATACCAGACATATCAGTTGACCATACAAATACGAAGTAATAACATTAAGCGAATTGAACAAAATGCACAGGAATAGCATATACATACATGTATATGTATGTATGTCGCGTATCAGGTCACAGGCAAATGTAAATTTGTGTGCATGTGCTTATTTATATACATATCATATTCAACATCTTTGTGAATGGCGCACTTAATTTAAGCGCCCATTCAAAACGGAGCCGAATATAAACAACAATTTATACACGCAAAGGACTCGTAATGCACATTCTGTTCAATCCATGCGGGGTTCGATGCCAATGTCGGGCCAAGAACAAATTGAAACAAACGCTGGTGATTAATCTTGAACACCGTAGAAATTCCATGCAAAATAGCAAAAAAAATTTGCACAATGCTGTCCCACGGTTCTCAGTCCTGCGTCCTGTGTTAATGGCTGATGGGCTGGCTGACAGTCGTGGCGTGTATTTAGGGAAATGTGGTGGCAACCCAACAAAAAGAACAACAAACAGCCAGGACAACAGCTAGAAACGAACAATGGGCTGGAATAACAGCAACAACAGCGAACTACAACAACAATGACATCAATAGGCGCAATTGAAACAAGTGTTGTCACGCCGCTAACTGCGATGGCGACGGCGACTGCGACGGCGACTGCGACGGCGACGTTGACGGCGACTGCGACTGCGACGCTGTTGTCCTGGCCTAATGGTTGACAAGCAGCGGTCAGTAAAACCCATTGTTTCGTTTTTTTACTCTGCCCAGCGGAATGGATTATTGCGAATTATTAGAAGGCTTCGATTCATTTCATTTGTGGTAAGATATATACTATATTTTTGAAAGCATATCAGATCTTTAAGTTATCTTGTATAAAATCAATGCCGCATATTGTTAAATTTCTATTAACAGTCGTTGCACAATTTAGGTAAGAGTATTCAGACTTTGCTTTCGATTTTGTTTATTATTGTCTGCGCCTTTTTGACCTATATAGACGCGTATAGTTGCGCCTGACTTGGCACAATTGACAGCCCGAAAGGGCGTTGTGGAAGGGGGATGGGGCTCGCCCAGGAGTGAAGGACTGTACACAGGGCCTCGCTTGGTTGCGCACTGAACTGCTGTTTGTTGTTATTGTTGGTTGTGTTGCTGTTGTTGCTGTTGTTGTCGCTGCAATTATACAAATTAATTTCCAGACAAAAGCGTGCAGATTGTTTTTCGAAGCCCCTTGTTTGGTCGTGGGCGTGGCTGCAATGGAAACCAGTCTGATATATCAGACAGCAAACAGAATGGAAAGACAAAGAGACAACAGAGCAACACTATCGTTCCATGGCCATTGATGGAGGATACTCATCTTCTTCGTCTTTAAATAGCCAGCCATTCAAAATACAGGCGGATCTGCAACTGAGAAATTGCCATTTGCAATTTGCCATTTGCAGCTGCAGCTGCAGCTAATACTGCACCGCAGGCGGTTGCCAAGCCATGGAATATGGCGTCATCCTAAGCAGGATTTCCCATGGCTAACATCGCTGGCGTCCCAAGCACACTTTCACCCTCATTCGTTTCACTCAATGCTGCTTGAGATGTTGTTTTTTTTTCTGCTTTTTTTTTTCGAATGCAATCATACTGCATTAACCTTCAGCTCGTCATTCTCCACGCAACGCGTTTAAGCTCTGCAATTGCCAATCGCCTTCGGATATGTTTATCTTTAAAAGTAACACTTCCCAACTACTGCTGTACTTTAACAGCTGTCAATTAACATGCACTCGCATTAACATTTTGAATACTGTTAACAAGACTGGAGTGGTCGCCGCTGCTGTGAATCGAGTTTTCAGTAATTGTGGAGAATGGAGATTGCCTTTATTAGCTTAGCTTTTGTCAGTTACTTTGAGTTGACAAGAAGTTAATTGAATTTTTAACACACAGCAGCTTGATAAAGTTTGGCATGCAGGTCAACGAACAGCAATGTTTCCTAAGGTTACCTAAGGCTGATACACCTGTGACATTTTCCTAAAAAAAGAAATTAACTATTCTTAAATATTTATTTTAATCAAACTAATTCGATTGAAATGATTTTAAATGTTCGTGTCGTTCATATGGCTTATATCAAGAGCTTTATTAATGGGTCCCACTGTTTGGCTCGCAAATTTTGCCAACGGTGCAGCTTTTGGCCTGGTTCGTTTTTCGATTTTCGTTCGTTTTTTTTTTTTTTTTTGTGTGTTTTTTCCTTTTTCTTTTGCTGTTCTCACGCAGCAGCCGCCATCAAGGCGCGGAAATTGGGCAGTCAGCCAGGGCCAGCCAACGTATCCATGCGTTGCATCAAGACTCGGGCCTGGCTTTTCGCTTTCAAATGCCTATGCAACAATGGGGCAGGAGTGTGGCGCATTACTGAGTGGCAGCGGGGCAGTGGAGGTGCGTTTTTGCAAGTGGTTTGATTTGTGATTTTGGCATTCTTGTGTTTGTCGCTAGCTGCTTAAATTTGAGCTGGCTTTCGATTTTGTGGGTCGCACAATTTATGCGCACTTTATGCGTTGCCCAAGTCGTGACTTGGACTCGAAGAGTGGAGCATGGAACATTAGTTCATGCCGCGTGGAGTTGAAGTTATGCAACGTGCGTGTGTGCGCTTGTACGTGTGTGGGGGCTGCGAAACTGTCAAGTGAGAGTTGCACCTATTGCACTAGATTCAAGTGGCAGCTGCAACTTGTTCACTGGCTGCGAGGCAGAACAATTAACAACGCCGAACGTTGGCAGTAAATGCATTTTAATAACACTCTATTATATCATTCAATTAAAACAGTATACGCATAATTGTTTGAAAGGTTATTTATAAAGGGGCGAATAGCAAGTAACGAGTAACGAGTAGCTAGCGAAAATCGAAAAAGAGCCAGTATCAAACGATATTCTAACGAGTAACATGAAGGCGATCAACGAGTAAGAAGTAAACATCAGCGAGTAACTAACAATGAATAGAAAATGACATGTAAAATATGACGACAAACGAATGAGAAAATGTGAACGTGTTGGTATTAGCAGCGTGTTATGAGAATAGCACGGCGAAAACGGCTTAGTCTTTAACAGTAGCGAGTAACTAGTAACGATTAAGGAATTAAACGTATAATATGAAGAAAATAACAACGAGTTGATATTAGCATCGAGTTAAGCAATAAAAAAAGCGAGTGACTAGTAACGATTAAGGAATCAAAAGTAGACGTCGAAAAATTAATTTTAAAAAACGAGCAACTAGTTGGTATATGAAAGAAACTAATAGTGTCGACTGACAGCTGACGCGCAACGAATCATGAGAGTAAGCCATAAAGATAAACTAACACTTGTCGGGCTTTGCTAACTGATCATTTTGTAAGCCATTCCAGATAATAAATTGTTAAAAAAATATGTTTAGATTGCGTCGCATAGCTATGCAGTTCTTGTTGCATGTGTGTTGACATATGTAGTTGACATTGTTAAGTGACTATGAAGCTGGTAGGTTTTTCCTGCTACCGCATGCCGCTTTCCGTTGTTGATTGAATTTCCTTGACCGGATCAACAAATTAGTCAACAACAATTCCCAATTAAATAATGGCTCTGATGTGTATTCGATTAACTTGAATTTGCAGCGAATTGAAAGGCAATCAAAAATATGGGCAAAGCAACAGCATTGAGGCGGGTGTTGGCTGCAACTGCAACAGCAGACTGCGTCTGCATCTGCGTCTGCGTCGGCATCTGCGTTGCATTGCGTTGGCCGCGCCTGCGCAGTGCGAGCATTCACAATAGCCAGACAGAGGCTGGCCGCTGCGGTTGCCTGCTTTGCCAAAAAGTCGAAGCGCGACGCTCCAAACTTGTTTTCCATGGTTGCCGCTGCTGCTGCCGCTGCTGCTGCTGGACCATATTTTCCCAGCGCTTTTTTTTTATCATGTAGCGCGGTATAAATAGGCCCAAAGAACGCGATACTGAGACAGTTTTCGATTCGAAGCCTAGCAGCCCGGTGCAATAAATCAGTTTAAAAACTGCACATTTTTTTTCACGTGAAACAAACGTATTGAAAAACCACATTCAAAATGGCATTCAAGGTGCGTAAGGACTAAAGTGTCTGCGTGTGTTTGTGTGTGTCCCCGTCAGACTACCTGGCCAGGATGCACTCCATTGGCCCAGAGTTGTTGCCAGGTTAAAAATTCAGACAGATGCAATTGCAAATATCCTAGCTGAGCAAGCCAAACTATGGCCTGTTATCCTTGCCACAGTTGATGGCAGCGCATTAGTGACTAATGCTACAAGAAAACAAAATATCAGAGTTCTTAAGTCAACCCTCTACCCGCTGGTAGCCCCAAAAGCTGTTGTCATCAAACTATTTCTTTTGTTTATATACCCAAAAAGAGTACACGTGCCACAAAATCATCACAGTGAACTCCAACTGCATTATTTTATACATATACATGTTGTATGTATATGTATATGTATGTGCAATTTTTATTTTTTTAGTTCTCGGGAAAGTGAAACAGAGCGTTGCCTATTTAAATAGAAAGCCAGGCGGCAATTCTGCCATAAGAACACACTTCTGCTGAATTGCAAAAAGCAAATATTTGTACTTTTGCAAAAAATTAGCCAGAAAAAACGTGATATTTTTTCATACGCTATTGCGCTCTACTTCTGCAGCGCACTGTTAAAGTTTTTAATGATTGGCAAATTACGTTTCAATTTTCGATACTGTTGTTAAAGGTCAGTAAAAGAGCATTTCCAAATTATAATCCGAGAGATTTTTTAAACTCAAAGCACATGTAAGCTGTATCTCATTGTAAGCCCTACCCATGATGAAGCTTTTCGCTTTAGCAAGCTTTAATTGATTGGCATCTGTTGCTTTGAAAGCACATTAAAGTTTGTTTGAAAGCTCACCAGACGTTAAGCACCTTAAATTAAAACCTTTAACTGTCACTGTTACTGTCACCTCATCATCGAAATTGGTTACCGCTCGCCAGGCAAGACATGCAAAAGTCTGAAATGGAAAACTTTTGATTCCCCGAAGCAACTTTCAACTTCAGTTGACCTCTGTTATGCTTTAGCATATTTTGAAAGTTAAAGCATAAGTAAATACGAAGCCAACAACAAATAGTTGAAGGCAGTCGAGCTGACAAGCGATATGATGCTAATTAAGTAGTTCAAGACTTCCAGTTACCGCGAAATATAATGTAAATAGCAGAAAAAAAAATATCGAAATATGCAAAATTAAATGCAAACAAAATTTCAGTGCAATGCGTGTAGTGCAGCCAATGCGAAGTAGGTCAATCGAATGCCAAGTGACAAAGAAAACAAGCAAGCTACTGCTCGACTTGGGGATACCCTGCAATCAGTGCCAAGCTGCGTTAATAAACATGCTATCTTCTTGCACATTATGCAGCCATGTGGCTTCTCTTGCCCAGCCACACACTTTGTATGAGAAAGAGCCAGGCTCTATCTTCTTATACCCTGAACCCATTTAAAATGGGTATAAGGCTCTATTGTATTTGTGCAAAATCCAAATGTATGTAACAGGCCGAAGGAAGCATTTCCGAGCCTATAAAGTATATATATTCTTGATCAGCATCAATAGCCGAGTCGACATAGCCATGTCCGTCTGTCCGTCCGTCCGTCCGTCCGTCCATAAAAATCTATTTATCGATATAGATTTTTATGGACGGACGGACGGACGGATATCGATCCTGTTTTTGGGAAATTTTGGTAAATAATAAGGGCTAGAGTCACGAAACATGATATGTTGCTTCTAAAATAGAATATATATATGCATTTGATGTTGGAAGAAGAGGGTTCAGGTTATCCCCTAGTCGGGAGCTCCCGACTAGAACCTCTTACTTGCTTCGTTAATTTTAGAGAAGTTCCTTCTAAGCGAGATTTTACATGCTTATATGGTTTTTAGAATATATCAGGACCCTATTGCGCTGGGTTCAGGGTATAAACCTCCTAGAGCTGTGCTCGCGAGTATTTCATGTGTGAAGTTGCGCATCTTTGCAGCCACGACTGCAGCTGTCCAAATGTTCAAGTTAAATTGTTCAGTTAAAGGTCGAGTTTTAAGCGAAAGTTCTGGACTTTTCTCCATTTATTTTGGGGGTTGTTTGCATAGCCCCTTCGTTGCGGGTCCATTCCTGGCCGGAAGTCAGTTACGCTTAATTAAAATCAGATAAATACCCAAAGACAAATAAAAGCCGCGCCAAGTCAAGTGCAAGGCAGGCACGTCAGGCTGAAAATAAAGCAAAACAAAATAAAATACAGTGAAATAAAACAAAACCCATAGCGAGAAAGGCACGAAAGCAAATGATGTACTTTTTAAATAAAAAAAAGGCAAACACAACTCACTGATGTGCCCCAACCCACAAACTTGTCATTTCTCATACAAAATTTTTTTTTTTGCATTTTTCCGCGTAAATTGAAATTCAATGGAATTCTCACAAAAATGTAAAATGTAAGGTCACAAAAGAAAACAAGAGAAGCAAGACAAATGCAAAACATTAAAAAATAAACAGTAAAATTAGACTTGTAATACCCTAGCAAGAGTAGTTTTTAAGATAACTATTACGAGAGGACAATTTAAATTGGTCGAGAAAGAACCATTCCTTGGTTGCAAACATACCGCGCGCCACTATAAATTAGTGTTAAAGGAAACGAGCATAGTCGAGTAGCGAGTAAACAGTATAAGTCGAACAATAGATGGCGATAAACAAGCGGCGAGTAAGGAGAAACGAGCTGCAATGAAATGAGGAACGAAAAATATGCATGTAAGCAAGAGGACAAATAAGCCGAAAGCAAGTTAAAAATACCAAGTGACGAGTTGCAGGTAGTACGAAGAATTAAATAAGAACTGACAAACAGTAGCGAGTAGCTGGCGTTAGCTATGAACGAGAACGAACCCTAAGAGCTGTGTGGAAAAAAGGTTGGAATACTTGAAAGCGAGGTTAAATTAGCTTAAAAAGAATCAAATATAACAATGAGTAAAGCTCATTATTTTACGAAGTAGCGAGTAGATAGTAACTAGTGCGAATAATTGAATAACATCGGACGAACAGATACGAATAGCTAGGAACGAAAATAATCCCTCAAAGTAAATTAGAAATAGCAAGTTACGTTTTAACAATTATTAATTTACGAATTTGACGAGTAGCCATAAATAATAGAAGTAGCAAAGAAAAACGGACGAGTTGAAGCAAATAGCTTTCTGCGAGTAGCTAGTCAAGAATGATGCTATAAAGAAAATAAAATGCAGCATAGGAAAGCAAAAAAAAAAAAAAAAAAAAAACAGAATGAGAACTGACATTTAAACAATAAATTATTCAAAAGAACAAGAGCTAGCTTTACTGATAACATTTGGTAACTGCGTCGAAGGCCGCCAAACTTATTGAGAAATTACAAGAATTTCAATGCTGTTAACATAATTGATATGATAGTACGTAAGTGCCATATGCTAAAATAGTTTATCAAGCTGCAAGTCAAACACAATGTTGCTATGGCAGCGATCCAAGCAAATTCTACATAAATAACATGTATACGCCGCATTGCCCAGACAGTTGAAAGGCTGCCGTGTTGCAGCAAAAAACAGTTTGTGTGCGTGTGTGAGATAGCAAAAGGGATACAGTGGGAGAGGGCGCGCGAGTGAGTGGTAGAAAATTTGAATTCCCAACTACTTTGGCAACTTAATTAAAAGTTTATGCGCCTGCAATTTCCTAGGGCGTCGTGTGTTCTCTGTCGATATGCAAACAAAATACAAATGAGTTGTCCTACGGCTGCTGCAATAAACTGATTTATGAATGACGGCTCTTGTGTCCGGGCTTGTGTGTGTGTGTGTGTGTGTGTGTGTGTGTGTGTGTGTGTGAGTGTGCGTGCGTTTCGTGTGTGCATAAGGTTGTATTCTATTGTTCATATGTTGTAGCTCATCTTCTGCCTGGCCGCTATAGCCATTGCCTGTGCCCAGGCCAAGCCCGGCGGTCCCGCCGCCTATTCGATTAGTGCGCCTAGCGTGGACCATGCCTCGGTAGGCAATACACAGGAGCATACGGTGAAGGGACACTACGGCCAATCGTCTCAGTCTGACTATGCCAGTCAGGTGCAGACCGCTCACTCCCAGTCCCATGTGCAGCGCTCCAGCATCAGCAACGATGGCGGCCTGGCGCCCGCCCACTATGCCGGTAAGTCAGCTACGCATTCACACTCACAATTCGCGACACATTCGCATTGCACATGCAACAACATTCACTCGGACATTCACAACACGCACAAAGCACTCACTTCACCTCATTCAAAATGCACGTAGTTCATATGCTAACATTCAAAAAAACAAAAACCAACAAATTCGTATCTAGCCGCGCCACAAGTCGCCAGCTATGCACTTGGACACACCGCGCCCGCCGCCCAAATACAGCTGACCAGCGGGCACGCCGCCTTGGGCCAGGGTCTGGCCTATGGTGGACACTATGCAGCCGCCGCTGCTGCGCCCACGCTCGCCTATGGCGGTCATTACGCCGCTGCCGCTCCAGCTCTGGCCTATGGGGGCCACTATGCAGCCACTGCGCCCGCTCTGCAGCTGTCGGGCGCCTCGCATCTGGGCTATGGCTATGGATATAGTGCTGCCGCACCGGCGTTCTCGCATGGTTATCTGGCAGCTGCTGCACCCGCACCCGTTGTGAAATACGCTGCCGCCGCACCAGCTTATGGTAGGTGCCACAGAGTCCAGACTGGCCGTAGTCCACTCTGCCAAAATCTAATCCCGCGCACCCTTTGCACCTCTTCCTAGCTCTAGCTGTAGCTGTAGCTGTAGTTGTGGTTGTAGTTGTAGTTGTACTAATCTTCTAGCAACATTTTTTCCAGCTCGTGCACTCGTGCGAATTTAATATCTGGTTGGGCTCTGATCTGATCTGATCTATGTTGGAGTTATCTTTGGGTTTTCCTCTTATTGTCTTTTCCCTTATGTCGCTAGCCAAGTGCACTTGGCCAAAACAAACTTTTGACACTGTTTAAATACAAAGCCCAAACTTTCATTTGGGCCATGCTTTGCCACGTTGCTGATAGCTGCAGCTCAATACGATGAGTGGGCGGGTCGGTGTGTAACCAGAGGGTGAGGCTGTGTGCTCAGAGCAGGATGAATCGGAGAAAAAGACAAACATTAAGCCTTTGTGCCAGGACTCTGAGGCCAGCGCAAAAGTAAGTTAGGTTCTCATAATCCAGTCACATTTCTGGCAAAAGCAATCGAGAGATCAGATATATTGTTCATTAAGGTTGGACAGGTGGCAAGTGGGCGGAATCAATGGCCAAACAATTATTTTCATATGGCAGCAATTTTAATTATTGCGTAACTAATCCGTCGTACATGTTGAACATCTTCTAAAATTTATATAAACCATCTGGAACGCAGATTGGGCAAACATAGAAAACGTTTCAACTGGCTCGTTGCAATTTTTTCATATCCATGAACTGGGATTAGGATTAGGTTCGATTACGGGTTATGCGATTTTTCTTGAACTAATAGAATAGAATGCTTTAATTCAATTCAGTTTTCAGTTCGTCTGTTTCGACAAATGGAGTGCCGAGCTTAAAACTGATTTGCAGCCATCAAAAATGGTATAGCTATTTTCCAAAGGCCTAGAGTTGTTTAAATTTCAAACCTTTCTAACTTTAGACAGCTATGTTAGGTTTACAAAACCTAATTATCCAATCCTATAAGAGTTGCATCTGCTGTGCTCATTAGGAACATATGTATTTTATAGACATTTCATTCTATCAAGTGTTCAACCCAACGAGCCTATTGAATATACCCCCAACTGTAGATAAGGTAGTAAACAAAAGCGAGTAACGTTTCCGGGCAGTAAAATCGATAGATACCGGGCTGTTAGTATTATGCAATTATCTCATTAATATGTAAGGGCTGCCCTGAATGGGTCACTTGAAATACTCAATAAGGGAAGGGCAGCGTGCTGCGGGTGCTGCCAGACGTTGGGTATGTTCAGGCGTTGCCACTGTTGCTTGCGTTAGCTGCTCAGAGGGACAGAGACAGCGGCAGATAGAGAGACAGAGAGAGAGAGAGAGAGAGAGAGATAGACAGACAGGAAGATAGTCGAGAGAGTGTTTCGTTGGGGGCGTGTAGAGCAATGTCGTTCAAAGCATGTCGTATAATCAATCATTCATTTATTGTTGCCAACTACTTTAAACCATTGACACGTGGCCCCGACAACGACAACGACAACGACGATGACGATGACAATGATGATGATGATGGTGATGATGACGAGGTCGTGCCGCTACGCAAGTCCTCAAGTGGGACAGTCAGTTCGTCAGTCATTTGGACAAGTGCTATTTGGCATTGCCAGGCCATGTGCGCCCGCCTCGTACGCCTCTCGACAACAGTCCGCAGGACAACAGTTCCCGACTATCTGGCCAATCCATGCCGAGCGTTGCGTTGCGTTGCCGCACTTCACAACGCGTTTCAACTCTTGCACAAAGACTCAACAAGTTGAAAAAAAGAGTTACAAAACTAGCCACGGGCTTGTAAGCACCCTTTTTCAATTTGTTCCGTTGTTGCCTAACCTCAGTGAGCTTATTAAATATTACAAGCAGCTTATTTTCGTTTTGTTTTCTGTATTGCAGTAACAGTTATTAATTTGCAGTAACTTTTTGTTTTACCTAATCCCATGTACAAGTGCTTTCTTGGACTGATAAGATTTACGCTCTGTTGTCACAGCCCTTGGGAGTTTCTCTTTTAATCGTAATTTTATTAAAGTGCAACTCGTTGCTGAAGAGAGCTCTACTCTAGTCTCACGAGTATCTGGCCATGTTGCCGCTTTGCGGTTGGGCGAACAAAAGAAATGTTAGTGTGGTGAGTTCTCGGAATGCCGCTATGCTGATGCATTTTATGCTGAGCCTTTACCGTTAGCTAAACAGCCAGTGTTGTCTATTTTCTTCGAAATTTATGTTGACCTGTACGTTACACGCACTGTTGCCGCATTTCATATGGTCACAAACGGCCAGTGTGGTACGATTTTGACGACCTTCTGTAACACACTGTAACTCACGTCCGAGTATCTCATTTCAACTTGGCTTGACAATATAAAATTGCAGACCCTGACGTGCCACTTGATTGATGTCGACTTGTCAGTGCCATGCCATGTGTTCGAGTGTGGGCCAACCTGCTCAGATCCCGGCCTGTAACAATGGCCCAATTTGAGAGAAAGGTGGCAATTTTCATTGTTACTGTTGACAAACAGTGGCCAGGATTATTGATCGCTCTCAGATAAATGTACCCGGAATTAATATTCCTAAACGTGCCGTTGCCTTCACTTCTGTTTGGGTTAACTCTGATTATGCATTTCCATTGCCAGTCGGTTGTTGTTAATGCAATTTGTGTTTCTGGTCCACAGCACCTGGCATCATCGGACATGGCATTGGACTGGCTGCACCGGCCTACGCAGCACCGGCCTATGCCACGCATCTGGCTGCCGGCCCAGTGCTCAAGTAAGTAATGCCGCCGTGCTTTATAAATAGAGATGAATCGACGAATGCATATTTCATAATTCATATTTCTAACTCATGCAGGGCTGCCGTTGCCGCACCCGCTCTGGTGCACACATCCGTCTCCGGCCATGGCATTCAGTATGGCTACTAGAGCTTGGGATGACCCACAACCATCACTGCCTAACAACCATCACTCCCGCTACCGTCCACCGTCCACCAAGCCATCCGCCATCAGCAGACGAAAGCCAACATCCCTAACATGGAGTAAGCGGCTAAAAATAATATTCATGTCCAGCTGAATTGTAAATAGTGCGTCCCTCGGCCTTTTAATTGAAACTCAAAATTCAAAATGCACAAAATGGCTAATGCCGAATTGCAACGTTGCCAATTTTTAGTGCACCAATATATATATATATATATATATATTTTTTTTTTTAATTTTGTATTTGAGCTTAATTTTTTATTATTTTATAAGCCATAGCAAAGCTCCATGTTAAGAACGGAAAGTCTCTCTGTTACATGAATATTAATTGTGTAATTTGCCTCTGTATTTTATGCGTGTGCCCTCTATTTTTGTTTTTGTTTTTTTTTTTTTTATCGCGGTTGAACTTACTTTTTATGAAAAAGTTACTTTGTACAGAAAATGCATGTGAAATGTTGGAAAAAATAAAAACGTTTAATATATATCGACTTGATATACTCTCTATGCAGCGTTGCGCTTTATTTGTGTTTTTCTTCTTTATTTTTGTTTGTTTTTGTTGTTTTTTAGGTAACACAGCGATAGACTCCCTTCCCAGGGGCCAGCATACTCCCAATACTGCAGTTACAAGATGATATACGAGCTCCAAAAACTATGCTACGATTTATTTTCCACGCTCCAGTTGAGCACTTGCCATACGTACTGCATATTTTATGGCGCAGTGCGTGGAATTTATCATGCTCCCCATATATATATATATATATATATATATACATATACATACATACATAGCTACTGCATAGTCCAGTCCATGAATAGATCTATGCCAAATGCCAAGTGAAAGCCAAGCGAAAGTATTAAAGTTCAAATGACCAAAATCCCGTTTTAGGTCGTTTGCGTATCACGCATACGCCGCGTGCGCTGCGCAATGCCAAATATAGCACATTGAAGCTTATTTTTGGATATATGTTGAAAAAAGCAAAGAGCATCAAAATGTCAATGCATATGCCACATACAGCTGACTGTATGTGTTTTTCATAGCATATTTTAGTTAACTCAGTGAAATCTCTTACTTTGCTAATGCGCTTCAAAAGCGATTCGAAAATGGTTTACGATAAAAACTTTTTCAAATTTCTGAACAAAGTTCACAAACTGATTCCGAACGCCTTTAAAACGATTCGAAAACTGTTTTAGGCTCAGAATTGTCTGCTTAACAATTTTGTTAGTTAAAAATCTGCTAATTAGTTATGAAATGCACGAATATACCTTCTAAGCAGATGCCCGAATTCGAAATGCCACAAAAATGTTACGCATCATTTTCTTAGCATGTGAACTAGTTCTAGGTCATGGCTGAACTGGTTTAATTGAGACATATTTGCTTAAACATATTTAACACTGTCGAATTATTTAACTGAAATGCAAGTGCAAGACTTGAGTGAGTGAGAGTTTAATGGATATATATTCCCAAATTATGTTTCTATGGTTAAATGCGATATCGGTTGTGTATGTATATAGACTAATATACAGTTGTCAGGTAACTTGAGCAACACCTCATAGCGTTAACGACAGCTTGTAAATGGAATTTCATGTATAATGTGTGTATACTGTGCATGTGTGTGTGAGAGTATTATAATTAACTGTAAATGTGGCTTAGTACAAAGTTGCGTGAAAGACAACACAATACTCTATCACACACATACACACACACACACACACACACACGCAAGTAAACCCGCTGACATAGAAAACAAGAGGGTATGACATACAAATATTGATTCAATATTCTAGCCACAACAGCGTAGCACAGCGAGAATCTCAGCCAAGCAGCTGGATATCAATTAAGATGCAAAGTTATGCCAGACGCTGGCCAACAAAGTAAGAGCCATGCCCCCGCTGCTACCACTACCTGCGGCTAGCTGTGTGCGCGTGCCTTGACACGTGGCTTATTTGATTTGGCCAGGACATTAAAGCCAACTGGCGAGCAGCACAGCAACAGTTGTCCGTCAAAAAGAAAGAGAAGAGCGAAAAAACAAGCAAAGAAAAACTGTTGGCATATTCATTTAGAGCATGCTGAATGCAAATACAAACACAAGCCGAGTCCTGCCCTCCAGAATACACAGGACACCTGGGCCCAAGGCCGGGCCGGGCCGGGCCGGGCCGGGCCGGGCCAGGCAGAGAGCACAACAGTCGCGCGCCAATGTAAATAATACAACAAACAGCTAAAGCCATGGAAAGTAAAAGCGCAAAGGAAACTCAAAGCCAAAACACGACAATTTCATTAGCAAATGCAGCTGCTAGAGCGAGTTCTTTCTCTACGGCTTAAGCTGGAGATGTATTGAGGCAAGGCCATGTTAGTCAGAGCCAAGCAGGCACTCGAGAAAACTAAGCGACCTCCACAAGACATCAAAGCAATGCAGTCAGTGAGCCAACACAACTAGAGGTCGCTAGTTAACTATATGAATTGGCAATGGAATAATATGCTGTCAACCGCGTAGATACGTAAGGATATTATTATTACTCAATGTGTGTCAGTTAAAACTAGCAAATGAATCTGTAAATATGAATACCCGGTTCGAATTGATTGTGAAGCTTACTTTAAGCACAAGCTGCTACTACGATTTTCTAATGAACTGAAACAGAAACTAACATATAATTGTTTCAAAAATGATTTGGCTCAAAATTAAGTTAAGCTATTGCTTAAAAATAAAGTCCCAATCATTGAACCTATCCAACCACATTGGGTTAATGTCAATTTGGGAGGCAATCAAATGTAGCCCGCATTTTATATGTGAAAATATTAATGGCTTGCAATATTTTCAGTACAACGGGCAATTCTTCATTAAAAATGCAGTTGCTTGTTATGTAAAATAAAATACAAATATATGTGACAAGCTGAAACTTAGCTTCAAGCAGGTGAAAAATCAGCTTCACGGAGCATGGCCAAAGGCAGGTAATTCGTTTGGACTATTAAAGTGCAAATATTTTATATAAGTTAATAAATAAATAAACAATTTTCCTAACTTTCTTGCCACTGAGATCGATGGGCGTATGTTACACGTGAACGCCATTTATATATATTTCTTTTTGTGAAACGAACTCCTACATCCTATTAAAGCATACGGATAAAATTCTTATTTTATACAAGAATATTGTTGCCGCCTTTAAATGCCAGAAAAGAAGCAAAACAAAGAGTTGAACCTCGAGAAAATTGAATGAGATTTAACTAAAGTATGGGGGTGGAAAATTTCTACCTATAACTATATAGGATAATGACTTTTAACCGTTTTCCACTGTTGCGGGCGGAATTTCCCAAAATGCCGCAGCACGTATTCATTAAGTTATTCTGTAGAGCTTAGAAAATAAGTTGGAAGCAAATCGGACAAAACATAAAAGTTCAACAAAACAATCTTAGAATCGAACTTTCTACCGAGCTAGCTTAGATTTTGCGAAAAATAAGGAAATTAATTTGAACCCCAAACTTGAACACATCAAAATCTTTGACCCCCATTTCCATCAAGGAGAAATGCATTTTTCGAAATGTATGAAACATCCCTCAAATGAATTTGAACAAAGATGAGTTTGAGGCCGATCGGATGGTAAACAAACAAGTTTCATACAAAAAAGTTTCATCTTAACGTGCACCTTCATCAGGTAACCAGGTAACTAATGTGAAAGTTTCAGTTTCCTAGCTAGGTAAGATAGGGAATTGAATAGCACCATGGCCTCCGAGATGACACATTTTATTGCAAAGAGTAATTAACTTAATGCCATTCGCCAGATAAAAATGTTTTACTAGCTCAAAGTCAACTTCGTTGCGCGAAATTCTTTGCCCACGCACGTGCAAATAATACAAACGGTCTGGCGATTCGGGGGCTCGGATTCAGGCAAAGGTGGAGCGGGGCTGGCGAGGGGGCTGTAGTTGTCCATGCCAGGACATGTTTGAATAGAAAATTTCAATTTTGTGCGTTTAGCAAACAACAAACGCAAGTCAACAGAAATGTGCAGCGCAGCGCAGCACAGAAAAAAAAGATGGCCAACACAGATGCTCACACACTGATGCATACACAGGCACACACACACACACACACAGACGCACACACTGACAGATGGACGGACAGTAACATATTCCCTTACACACTGACCGCATGCTGTCTGGAGTGTGTGTGTGTGTGTTTGTGTTTGTAGAGCCGCTTCCTGTTCATTTCCCTAGTTGACAGGACACAACATAGCCAAAATGTCTGGCAATAACAAGAAATATAGGACCATGGGCGAGTCCCTAGGCCCAACACCTCGCTAGATATCCGACTGTGCGGCACAGCTTGGTAACCAAAACTGTTTGGGCAAGTGGCGTGTGCAGACGGTGACCTGTGCTGCACTGTAGAGTTTCGAGTCCTTGGGGCAGGTGGGGGCGTATTCAAATTTTGTCCACTGTGGCGTATGCTTAATGCTACCTCAAACATGCCAAAGATTTCGCACCGCAGCTACGTTCAGGCCACCGACATTTGCTATGTGACAACTGCAGGCAGATAATTTGAGCTAATTATGCTCCGAACACATACAGTTTGGGTAGCAAGGGGTGTCTGGGTGTTGTGCATATGTTTGTAATAGTTGGAAGAAGGTAGCTGCGACTTCATGTTCCTCATGTCCTTCTGTTTGTCTGTCCCAGCCTTAACAGTTGCAATTCAGTTCATCGTATAGCACGGACAATTCGATTTAAATCTTAATCTAATGAAAACAATTCTTATTTTTGAAGGCACAGTCTCGGGCTTTGGTATGCACACGCATGCGAATGCCATATAAAGTACCGAAAATGGCGTAAAGATCAGACAATAAACACCGGAGCTCTCTAAGGTTGCAAGTCCGATACTTAAAGTTGGAAATGGGGAAGTGCGAGCTCCCATTTAAGGCAGCTAGAAGGCTTCTAAATGCAGCTCGCTACAGGGTGCAGGGTAGCTGTGTCAGTCGGCCACTGTCAACCTGCGCACTCTTAGCTGTTGTATACTCTAAGTGCGCTTACGCCTTCAATCAATCTAACAAAAAGTATCGCCGCCAAAGGAAAACGATAGTATATCAAAAACGAATGGCAAAACACACTATAGAGAAACCACGTGCCCCACGAAATGGGGAGGCGCCACAAATGCGGAAGTGCTATTAGGCTGGGTCTGGTGCTGGGGCTGGGTCTGGAGGGCGGCTAGCTGAACGATTATTTTCTCAGGGTCAAGTGTGCCGAGCACTTTCAGCTGGTGGTTAATTATTACCGCCGGAAGCAAAGTGTGGACAACTGAACGGCGAAACTTTGGAAACTAAAAGCAAAGGCTGACCCGGTCATTTGTGCAACTGCACCATGAGGTCGCATTCTACTTTAAGACAACTCATAGCACAAATGCATAGAACTGTTTATTATACAAAAATCGCTTGTGCCACAAAATAAAGAGTTCAGGAAATGGGGACTTGCGATTCAAATTAAAGAAAACTCATTAAAGATTAAATATCCACGCTAGAAAGTTTTCTAACTGAGAGAATCCGACTATAAGATGCTCTGTACTGAGCGCCAAGCTGCCGCTACAAGCAACTATTTTCTATACATTTATACAGAAATAATAACTCAAGCTTCATCTCCACATTATTGTTTGATGTTTGCCTACAAACATAAGATTTATCTTAGAGAGGGCGGCGTAGGTTCCGAATGGTAAAGTTCGAGAAGAAGTTAAGCGAAAAGAATCTATATATATATATATCTATAATTTAATCTATATCTATCATTTAAAACCTCTAGCTTATATATTTTGCGAAATTCTTATTAATAATATATATAGCTTTATGGGGTCGCAGAGGCTGTACTTTACCCATATATACATTTAACCCACTCTCAATGGGTTGAGGCGAGTAAAAGGCATTGAAAGGGATTAAATAAAGCTTATGTCGCTCATAGATACACACACACACACTCACACACACACACACACGAAGACTGCTTAAATTAATTGAAAGGATTATTGCAAACACATTAATTCTGATTTTCGAATTTTAATTTTAGACAATGTATGACTCATAGCTACGCTGCTGAAAAATTTTCACATAGTTACAAAAAAAAAAAAGATATTACTAATAATGACTATTACGAGATTAGAATAAATTAAAACTAATTGCGTGCAAAAAAAAGGAGTGACAAAAAAAAAACAGGTCGATTATCCGATAGTTAGTCCGTTGAGTTTCTGGGTCCACTGGTCCACGTGGCGGGATGCAGCAGAGCCTGGCATATTGTGGATTCAATCGAATGTAGCGCGTGTGCCTTAGAAGTTGTAGTTAAGATTGCCGCTGGAGAAACTCACATGGGATACGGCTGACGAAGGTTGATACGATGGAGAACCCAGTACGGAGGTCTCGGGCACTGCCATGCCGTAGTTGGTGGTGGTGCTGGGTGCCAGTTGGCCGGTGGCGAACTGCTGCGCAACATTCTGCTGCTGATCGCGCAGCACATCTTGCTGCTGCTGCTGCAGGAATCCCATGTGCTGCTGGGTCGAGTAGAAATTGCCCAGTCCGCCGGATGATGTTGTCTGCAACTGTGGCTGTGACTGCGACTGCAACTGCGGCAGCTGCGTCTGTTGGCGTTGTTGCTGCGGCTGCAATCCGTTGCCGCTGCCAAAAACTGACGTGGATTGCCGTGTGAAGTATCGATTCCCTGCAGCATTGACACTGCCGCTGGACGATTGTTGCGGCTGTTCATGCTGCAGTTGGTGCTGCTGCTGGCCGGAGACATCGGGATAGTAGGTGTAGAGTTTTTGCAGCAATTGCTGTTGTTGCTGCTCAAACTCCAATCGCTGACGCTGGTAATCAAGGAAGGCGGCTTGCATCTGGTCCGCATAGCTGGGTAGATTAGCTGATTGCAGCTGTTGCTGTTGCTGTTGCTGTTGCTGCTGCAGTTGCTGCTGTTGCTGTGCAAGATATTGCTGCTGCTGCTGCTGCTGCTGTTGTTGTTGTTGAAGTAATTGTTGTTGGCTGCTGACAGCTGTCGCTGACTTTGACTTGCTGTGAGCTCCAATGGCTTGCTGCGGATACGCAGCTGAATATTGTATTCCCGTGGGCGTAAGTCCGGCGAATTGAGTTGGATTTTGCTGTGAATCAAACAAAATGCAGAACAAAATAATTATTCAAATAATACTTCGGAAACTATACATATTTCATGCTTGCTCCGTTTACCAGTCGACCACCATTTCTGCGAGTTTTGACAGCTCTCATTTTCTGCCAGGTTCTGTGGAATTTAGTTTCAAACACAACTACAATTTAGCAAACGTTTTCGAAATCTTGCAGTTTTACGGCAAGCTACAAATTCAAACGAGAAATAAATTCTGAAATTCGAAATCTAATCTGATTAAGCGAGCGAGCGAGACTGACACTGCCCCCAGTCCCGGACTGCCAGCCCAGCGCTGACAGTCCGGAAGCATTGTGCCCAGCCTGCTTTGGATAGCAAAATAAATGTATACATATATATAAAGAGAAAAAATGAAATAAACAAAGGTGCCAAAGGCAAATATTGATCATACGCCACGTTGCGCAGATGCGCTGCACGCAAACGAATCCAGTGCAAAAATGCGACATAAAACGGGTGGCAATGACGCGAGGCGAACACAGTTGAAAAATGTGCTTCCAATTGCATTTAATGATGCTGCTGCTCTTGCTGGGACTGCTCACGGGCAGCGCCTGGTCACGTGCCAGCCCGGAAAATCCACTCGAGAAATTGGCCGTGGGGGCGCTCAGCGCGGGCACTGGCATTATGAGCAGCCTGCAGGAGGGCGCGTTGGCAACACAACAGATGAACTTTAATGGCGGGCTGGTGGCCGTGCGCTCCAAGACGGCGATGGGCTATGGCGATGCGATGCGACCGGACAGCGGCGAAGATTCCGACTCATCCGAGTCAGATGAAAGGCGGCGACGAAGGCGCCGCAACACCAACAGCACCAGCACGAGCAACAGCAGCTACCGCAACAGCAGCCGCAGCTTTAGCTTGCACCAGGCGCTGCATCGCCTCAAGCGTTCGCCGTGCGGCATGAAGATGGGCGCCACCACGGAGTCGGCCGATGATGTCGAGGCGCGCAAGAAACGCGCACGCAAGCGCGCCGCCAACAACAATGCATCAAGGACGCGCATCAGCAAAACGAGCACCAAAAAGAAGCTGCTCGAGAGTCGCCGGAGACGACGTCGCCAGGCCACGCAGCAGCAGCAGCAGCAGCTGGGCGCCGGCCTGGGCGAACAGGTCAAGGGCCTGTTTCTCTCGTTTATAGACAACATGGCCGACATGGTGCAGCAGGTGCGCCAGCAAGTTAAAGGTGCAACTGCTCAAGCTACTGGCGGCATGTAAGCCACTTAAAAATCAATTAGCTTCCTTTTTTTTTTTGAATACCAAAAATATACCAAATAGATACTGAATTGGCTAAAATGTCACCAAGAAATGTCAGCTATTTCTCAACTATTTTTTGTTGTTAAAAATACCAATAAAGACAAGAAAATACTAACAGAAAAATACTGTCTGCATCAATGGGGCATTCTAAAATATTTTACTAATTAAGGCACTAAAAAACATACAAGAAAAAACAATAAGCCGCATTTAATTGAAGGTCTAACAAGCCGCTCTATAAGACAAAATGTTTGCTATTTCAGATTTATCTGATCGCTGCAAGTTTCAAACACCAACAAACCAACATTTTTAAAAAAAATATATAGAAGCTAGTTAATCACTGACATTTCCGGCTGACAGCGCACGTGTCGCAGTTTTATTGCCTGCTGGACACGCCAACCATCAATGTTGGCCCAGACAAAAGCGTTAGGGCCACGTTGGCGTCAGGTCAGTTAGCGCAATGATTTCCACTTGGCGTTCTGTGTTTGGCTGCGTCTTGGGGCTGGCGATGCTTATATGGCTGGCCCGCTGCCAGGAGGACCTGGAGCTGGACTACTCGAATGAGTATGACGATGTGCGACCGCAGCTAAGCTATCCGGATGAGCCCAGACTGGACACACGCCTGGCCGCAGCGGCTGAGCAGCTGGGCCAGAGCATACGGAATGCCTGGCAGTCCATGGCCGACTCGTTCCGCAGCTATTTTGAGGAGCTGCGGCATGTTTTTGCCGATGGCGCCGAAGACAATGCAGAAACCCTCCCACTGAGCAACTGATCAGAGCTGCATTCACAGTGAATTGCAAAGTTATATAAAAAAACAAAACAAAAGAAAACTATGGGACTTCTATTAAACTTGAGACCTTAAACAACTGATTAGTCAGTGGGGTAGAAATATACATCTCACGAAAGAAACATGCGAATAACAAACATTATTAAATAGTTCTGTGCATACTTCATCTTCCCTTGGCCACACTTAATAGAAATTGATTTTGGCAAAGGTTCGGTGCTTATTGTCCGATCTTTTAGCGGGAAACTAAAATGTAACCAGCTGATGACGAGCATTAGGAATAAAAGTTCGTATGAACTATAGAAGATGAATATGTACTACAGAATATAGAATTCCAACAAAATTTCAACAGGAATAAAAACATATACTTGCATACCCTGTTCAACGTAAAAGAGAGTATATTGGGCTGGGACACATTATCGCCGGCTATATACAGCTGGAGTAGGGATGAGAGCTCGGGCGAAGAGAAGGTTGCAATATATCAAAATTAAATTATAAATGAATTAGGAGACATTCATCTATAGAGAAGTCAAATGACAACTAGATAATAAATGAGCAGCAATTAATGCGAATAGATTACAGCCGACAATTAAGTGAGTTAACTGTAATATCCAATTGTTATAAATACTTTTGGATAAGCGCTAATCAGCTGATCGTACAGCTTCCGGAATTCGGAATTGCACAGCTCTGGAGTTCATCAAGATTGCAGCCAACCCATTACCAGCACATGTCAGCGGTTATGTAAATCGAGCGAATACACTCGCGCACACACGAACACACACATAGCCGCGCACAGCATGCCGCACAGTTGAGGCAAGATGTTGCCTGAGATTGGGGCACCGGATGTGTGCAACACGACAGCAGCTGTTGGCGGTAATTATAAAAGTTTTCTGCTGTTCCCGTTTGCCGGCTGCCAATTAGTCAAATGGCCAGGTCACCCGACACCCCGGTTAAATAAGCCGCGTCGGGAGCCAGGCAAGCCAGTTCCAAGCATAGACCCACAACCAGAACAGAGCCATGGGAGTGTCTTTAGTGTTGGCTGTTTTGCTGCTTCTCAGCATCTGCACAAACGCCAGGCCGCAGGTAAGCTCACCTGCTCAAGCAGCAGACCCACACCGAATGCCCCACTAATTGTGTCTGTGTGTGTGTGTGTGCGTGTGTGCGTGGTTACAGGACTTGGAAACAAGCATGTTGCTGGCTGCAGCCCAAGTGAAACAGCTGGTGGAGAGCGGCGCCGCGGCACGCAACGAGCAGAGTGTCGAGATACTGGGCCAGAAGATGGGCGGCGGCATGAATTTCGGTTTCGGTGATGCGATGCGACCAGGTGCCGGTCGTCGCCGCAGAAGTGCTCGACTGCAGACGGAGCTGGCCCTTGGACCCCGGCAAGAGCTTGACAAAATATATGCATGAACAAAACTTACCACCTGTTGCTGTTGTTGTTGTTGTTGCTGTTGTTGTTGTTGTTGTTGCAAGTCAGCCTGTGGCTGCTCCAGAGCCTGGGCCTGCTGCTGCTTGGCAGCACCATAGTAGCGCGTGAAGGTCTGCTGTAACCCGGGCGCCTTCAGCGTAAACGAATTCGTGTTGGCATCGGTGTGAAAGGATAATTGTGCATGGCACGCATACTGCAGCCCACCGAGCAGCAGCAGGGAGAAGGTCAACAGACCACCGGGATACCAGATGCCAAACATGTCCCGTTTCTATGATTTATGAGGCCAGTGGCAAATGCTAATTGTAATTGATTCAGATTCCACGCTGTGATGCAGTTTCTCCCTCTCAGTGGACTGATGGCTGTTGCCCGTCTGTCTGATGCTCTCTGATGGTTGCCTTAATTAATGGCAACGGCCACAACAACAATGTCACGTTATCGGCGACGACAACAAACCGGCTGCAGTTTGTCCAAATAACGACTGTGCATTGCCCGCCCGCCGTTCAAACGTTTTATACTTGGTCTTTGGCTCCGGGCTTTGGGGCCGTTTACTTGGCATGCAGCAAAGGCAGCGAACACATCGAAGACAGCGGCAACAGCTGATGGTAAATGGAAAATTTATTTATTGGCCCCGTCTTCGGCAAGTGCTGCAATTTGAGTAGCATTACGAGTCAATGTATGTGCGTGAGGTGTTAGCACAGTCGAGCCACCAACTCCACGCCATGTGTGCCAATGCGCCTTGGGTCATTCGAGGGCGGTCATGAAGTGGGCACAATATATATGATGTGGTGATAACTAAGGATCGGCTTAGGAGCTCCATATAGGGGAAACAGTGCACAGTTCTATGCGCATAGAGGCAGCCAAAGATGGTAAGTGACAGAGACAAGAGAGAGAGTGAGAGAGAGGGAAAGGGGGCGAGAGTCGGAGAGAGCTAGAGCTATATATAGCGGGAAAGCGCAAGATTCTGTGAAAGTGTTTCGGCTTTGAGCTGAGATGAAAAGCCCAATCCAACTTTTTGGGTATCTACATCTACATTTAGGCTGGCATTTGCACCAGCAACCAAATTGTTGGGGTAGCTTGAATACCTTCAATCAGCTAAGAGTGGCTGAGCACGGAAGATGGGAAAGGTTTTTTAATAAAACGATACATTGTTATATATTTTAATATATAGGTATATATAACAGCCTTGGCTGGGAGCCCACAAAGCCTTTTTGGTGGTTCGTTTCACGCCTTGCCCCGAGGTTCCGCTACAACTACAACTTAGACAATCATAAATGCTTTATAATTAAATATCAAGATATTTATTATTATTTCACTTTCTTTAAGCGCTTTGAATTTAAATGCGGCACAGCGACAAGAAATATGTGCAGCATAGGCCTCTGAATAAGGCCCCTTGCGGGGGCACATGCAAATACAAATTGAATATGGTCGTGTCGCTTACATAACATGCACGCTGCCCCAAAAAGAAACCGAAAAATAAAGTGGGCAAAAGACACAGAAGCAACAGCAAAAGTGAGCGAAAAATATATAAACAACAAAAATGATGTGACCACAGGGCCAACTAAATATAAAGACCCGGCATAAAATGCTGTTTATGGGAACGTGCGTGGCATACGCAAAATGCGTGGAAGCGTGTCGGGTGTCTGCAAAGGGATTTCGATATCAATAAATGGCCAACAGCTGATAAGAGAGCGGGGTTAAGGCTAACAGACAAGAAGCTGCCCATAATTGCATTTGCAATTGCATTGCCAATTGGCTCAAATCGTTGCCAACTTTCAAATTGTGTTGGCCAAACCGATTATGAAAGACAACTATTATGAGTGCACACACACACACACACACACACACATGGAACACCACCTACATAAGTGTTAAGTGGGCAGCCGAAGCGGACAGTGGCAGTGGCCGCCCGTCCACATGGCGTATACGTGATCGACATACATTTATTAGGTCGCGCGCGCGTTTCATTTCATTTTGAAGACGCAATCGCAATTGAAAGCGCATTTCATATGATTGAAAGTTGTTTATGTATGCCATTTGCTCCAACTGCACGTATACGCCCTCCGACCGCCCCCATTGGCTCGCGATAAAGGGTATGTATCAATATTGAAATATATATGTATGTATAATACATGAACACTGTTCCACGCACATTATGACAATGAGCCGACAATCAAGACACAGGCGCCAGTAAGCAGTCTGCAGCAACAGTCAGCAGCAGCAGTAAACGGCCAGCAGTAGCCAATTAGCTGTAATACCACAAGCAGTCCATATATGTTATATATACGTATATCCATGTTACGAGTATTGCAATATTTGTAATAAGCTGTTGCCCGGAATGGTGACAGGCTGAAGGCTAAAGCTTTTAAAATTGTTGACCAACAGATTAAGAGCTGAATAATCGCAATGCTTCCAGAGCATTAAGACCGAATCGCCGATTTTTATGTAAATAACAAACAGAGCGACTCCAATAAAATATCTGTCAACAAGTGCGCACGCTGTTGTCGACTGTGCTCGACTGCCAAATACCCTGTAACAAAAAACATTGATTTTTAGTAGCACGCTTTGAATTGCGCATTTCACAAAAAATGCAGATATAAATATGAGAACTTTCCCCATTTTCGAAGCAATTATTTAATAAGTCAAATATTCTTGACTTGTCAAACAAAAAGGCATCATAGCCAACTCTTAAATTCGTTGAGGCATGCTGTGAAATCCAATTACAAATGGGACGTGATATCGAAAAAACCTGATAAGCTCTTTTTTCGTTTGGCATAGTACAAAATACACATATTTGAAATTTAAAGTCCGTACTTTCCCATCAAGCATCCGTTCCGCATTTTCATTGGATATAGGGTATAAAAAGAGCTTTACAGACTACTTCGCGTATTTTATGTGGTAAATATATTAATTAAAATATAAAGAAAAATTAAATTATTTAACATATTTATGTGAAGCTTTAAGATATCAGTAGATAATGTTGCCAATAATTTAATAAAATTGAGCTTATATTTTTTAAGCACATATATTTTGATTTCCTGCTTATAAGGTTTTTATTTAAATATAGATATTATTGCGGTAATATGATATAAGGGTAAACACGAGCCTGTTCAAGCTCGAATATCTGGCTTTGTTTTAAATACGAACCGAACCCTAAATCAAACAAAAATTTCGAAGCATAAAATAAAAATCTCTAAAAGAACATTCAGTCCCCAAAAACTACAAAGAGCTTTGGTACCAAACGTTGCAATTATCTAACCATATTGGGTAGATGCCAATTTTGGGGAAAGCCCAAAAAATGTTTGCCCGCATCTTGTATATGAAAATATCTACGACTGGCAATATTTTCAGTACAGCGGGCAATTGGGTATTGAATAATGAAAAGGTTTTATTCAAAATTGAATCTGTTTTTCAAAATGTTTTGCGAAATACAGGATGCTCGTTCGATATTTTTGGAGCCTCTTTGTTGATGAAAGCACTTGCCAGACAAGGAAATATTTTCTTCGAGCCATTCGATTCCGGGAAATTAGCTGCTGTCGAACGAGCGATAAGAAATTATTATAGCGTCATTTTTATTATTATTATTTTTTTTTTTTTTAGGCAACAAAAGCTCATAAAATACGTGTAATTTAGCGATTAGGACATGCACCATAAAATATCAAATAAAAGAAAATAATAATAATAAAATAAGAAGCACAATAGTATAAGAAAGCAGGGGAAAATATGTAGACCTGTCGTGTGGTCAAAAAGAAAGGGAGAGAGAGAGAGAGAGAGATGTCCTGCTAAATAATGGTACTTAATCATTTTAGTGGGTCATCGAAAATGCAAGGGAGAACGGTTTTCGGCTGCCAACTGACCTCCCAAAAGTGGAGTACTGCGAGCGGAGAGGCGCAGATGCTGCATACAACACCATGCGACCAGCGCCCGATTTGAGGCTGTTAAACCCAAGCGCTTGAACTTTTGAACTCGCACACTGACCTCATTGCACACACGCACACACAGACACAGAGGCACACGCACATTTGCACCCAATCTCTGGCCAATGGCTCTGCCTGGCTCATGCCAGGGAATTATTTTGCGCTGCAAATTATTTTGGCTCCCCTTTTCGCTTTTGCATTTGCACAGATTAAATTGAGGCGACAGGCCACGCGGCTCCTGTTCCAGCTACAGCTTCAGCTCAAGACCTGCTTCCGGCCAGCCCTGACACCCCAATCGCATCCGCATTCGCATACCATCCGCAATCTACATAGGCCAGCGCCGAAAGACAAACAACAGGCATCAACCTTTTTATGACCTAGCTACAGTGGTCGAAATACCCAGTACATCTGTTGTAAAATTAAATTAAAAAGAAAATAAAATTATAAATAAAATTTAAAGAAGATAATACTGTCATTAAAAACTATATAATATAAAATACATGCTACAAATTAATATTAGGAAAATCGAATTTTAAGATTATGCAAGAAAAAAATATTTAAAAAACACTTATAATAATACTTAAAAATATAAAAAACTAAAGAAATTAAATTAAAAAAATATATAAACTAAACAAATTTAAAAATTATATGATATATCTTTATGGATATTAAAATACAAATTAATATTTATTTATTAAATAGAATTATTTGAAGAAATAGTTTTCAGAAAATAAAAAAACTAAATCAATGAAATTACAAATAAACTTTTTAATTAACGCGTTTATATACTTATGTATTTTAGTGCATACTTACTAATTCTTTAATTAGGAAAAGAAACTAACCCTTGACAAGGTTCTAATCCTCTCGGTGTCACTGTGTTCAGCTTAAATACCAATAAAAAAGAAAATGGCGCCAATGCAGCAGTTTTTTTTTTGTGGGTTTAACTCACATCAATTTTTTTTTATTAGTTTCTTTATTTTGTTTTATACACCAAATACAAAAAAAAAAAAAAAAGACAACAACAACGAAAACTGTATTCAATATAAGCACAAATATGTATATATATATATATATATATATATATATATATAAATTGTATATATATATAGTATATAAGGGACTTAAACTTTATGGGGCTTGCTTGGACTTTTGCCTTAGTGCCTGTATTACTTGCTGCTTAGCTCAAGTATTATTATTGTTATTTTTAATAAATTTTAGGGGTATCTGCAACGAATGCTATAACATTTCATTGATGAATCGAGCTCAATTAAATTTGGTAGAGGCCTTAAGCCAGTTGTGATCAGAGTAGATTTAGCTTTGGTATACTTTGGTATACACTTAGTACAAAAGGGGGAGATTGCAATTCTCGGGGCTCGCAAGAATTGCAAACTGGTTCGAATGCAATTAATTTAATACAGACATACACAGGTATACGGGCATGTATGTGTGTAGTTTACAAACACACATATATATATATATATATATATATAGTTAGCTTTGGATTTATTTTTATTGTGGTTGATAACATTCAATAAACTGTTGACTATCTGTATTATTTTTTTAAATATTGTGTTCATATTCTTGTGTGGATCAGCTTTAAACCTTGCATTGTATTCTTGATATATTTAAAATATTTCACCATAAACATTTATTTTGTAATGGATAATAAATATGTATACTTTTTCTTTTTCTTGTTTAACTTGTATTCTTATTGACATTGAAATGTAACTGAACTTTCAGAAGTTAACAACATTTAATTCGTAACATACGTAACATACACTGCCTCTAAATTATATGTGTACCTAATGTATATACTACAAATATTGCACATAGACCAGATACACAATATAATTTATTATATTTTATTTTTCAAATATTTTGTTTTTGTTTAAATTGTATTTAAAGTTGTTGCTTGGCACATTTGAATTATTTAATTTCATGCTGTGCCTATTTCGAGGAGCATTTTCTTAGTTAAACACAACAAACATTTCATTAGTTGAGTTTTAAAAATATTTCATTTTTCGATTTTGGTTTTTATTTTCTTTCGGTTTTTGCTTTCATATTTAGTTCTTATAACAACATTGATAAATATAGCATGTAACATGAATTGTGCTAACCGTTTTGCCAACAAAGTTATCTTTTGTTTTCTGTAGAGGAATATAAATACTTTATTTGAATTACTTTGTTTGTCTTCTCTTTTTCATTGTAATATTTTTATATATTTTTATACTCTTGATATTTTGGTATTGAAATAGGTTCTTTAAAAATATGCCTTTCCTTTTCCTTTTCCTTTCATTTCTTTTGCTTCTTCTCTTCTCTTCTCTTCTCTTCTCTTCTCTTCTCTTCTCTTCTCTTCTCTTCTCTTCTCTTCTCTTCTCTTCTCTTCTCTTCTTCTCTTCTCTTCTCTTCTCTTCTCTTCTCTTCTCTTCTCTTCTCTTCTCTTCTCTTCTCTTCTCTTCTCTTCTCTTTTTTTCTGTCTAACAACTTTGCTGAGCAACTTCTCATGGATCGTTAAAAATACATGATTCATTTTTGTTTCAGGCACGCTTTCCCAATGTCTTTGTGCTTTAAAAATTAATCATATTTTTGATTAGCATTACGTGTGTACAAGCATATTCTTTTTTTTTTATATATATTTTTATTGTACATTGAGAAACAACGTACATATTTTCGACCTTGCGGCTTTATTTGTTTAATAAAAATTTTTTATTTCTGTTTCGTCCAAAAAAAAATTACCCTTAAGCTGCTAAAAAAGTTCTCCTACAATACCTGCAGCCTGCCTCTGCTGCCCCACTTAACACTTTAATTACCCTGGGAAAAAAGGTAATTCCCCTCGAACATTACGCTCCCCCCGGTTCCCCTTGCCTAAGCCCTACTACCCTTAAGCTACCAAGTAGAAAAAATTGTTTGGTTCGAAAAGTTTCAGTATTTCCGCGATATGCAAATACTTGTTTTTTAAAAATGGAAAAAAAGAAGGGAGCATAATGAAGTGCATTAGCACTTCTTGCCAGGAGTGGGGCGCAAAATCTGTTGCCAAAGACCACCTCCTGCTTAGAGCTCGGCAAAAATGTTCTCCCTAAAGTCGAGTTCCGGATGCGCGGAATGCGTGGATCCATGTCCATAATCCCGCGATTTCATTGAGCTGCGCGCCGAATTGGAGTTGAAGCTGGCGTTCCGGGGGCTGCTGCGACGCATGCGACCCTCGAGGCCGGCCATTTTGTTGAGCGGCTGTGTGGGATCTAGCTCACAGAATGCGCCCGCAATTAGATCGGTGCCATTGAGCGAATTGAAGCTATCGCGCTTAGAGCCGCGGGCGGTGCCGCCGCCCGGAACATGATGCGAACCGGGGCCGGAGCTCTTGCGGCTAAGCCGACGCGTATACTGATACTGATAGGTGGGTGGGGGCGGGGCGGGCGCTGCAACTTGCACCGCTTGGACTGCTGGCGGCAAATTGTTGCTGCCACCGGGTGTATAGCTATCGTAAAAGTCCTGCGGCACCTCCTCCTCATCCAGTTGCTGGTGCTGATGCAGCTGCTGCTGTTGCTGTTGTAGCTGCTGCTGTTGTAAGTGGCCAAGACGCTGCTGTGCCTGCTGATGTAGCTGATGCTCCTGCAGATTGGAGCACAGGCTGTACTCTGTGGGCTGGCTGCTGCTGGCCAGCGACATGCTGAGCGGATCACTGCCGGGCATCACCAGCGCCAATGCGCCCTTATCATAACCATAGCCGGAGTCTCGCTTGGGTTTGGGGGAGCGCTGCGCATATAGCTTCTCAATGTCTGGCAGCTGGCGACCAACTCCGCCGACAGATAGGCGAACCTTCTCGCCCTGCTGCTCCCGTTGCATCATCTCCTGTATGTCCATGCTGCGCTCGCGCTCCAGCAGATCGATAATCTCCAAGTCGCGCTCCAGCGTGCTGGAGGAGAAGGTGCTGCTGCACTCGCTAAATGAGATATCCTTATGCCGCAACCCGGCCACGTGGGGCCAACGCTGCGGCGGATGCATCACGCTGCTTACCACGGAGCTCTCCTCGCCGTCACCATAGTTGCTGGTGCCGCTGTCATCCAGCAGCGCGCTATTGTTGCCATTGCAGTAGCTGGAGGCGGTCAGATTGGACACCGAGTTGTTTGACACGGACATGTACTCTATGGTCGGTTTTGGCCTGGCCTGGCCGGCGGCGGGCTTGGAGCGGCCGCTGCTGTTGTTGCTGCTGCTGCTAGGCGGCTGCTTGCGGCCCGATCCAGTCGAGCCATGGCCATCCGAGATTATATTGATCTTGACATCGTGCTTTTTGCCGCGCATATGCTTGCCTAGATTATTAACCACGCCAGCGTCCCCAGCCCCGCGTCCACTCAGCACATGACCGCCGCGCTCCCGTCGCTCACGTTCCCGATCCCGACCCCGTTCACGCTCCCGTTCCCGTTCACGCTCCCTATCCCTATCCCGTTCACGCTCCCTATCCCTATCCCGCTCACGATCTCGCTCCTTGACGGCAGACTGACCCTGTCTATGCGGCGCACCGCTGTACCGATCCGTGGAGCTTAAGCCATGTCCCGGACTCCGCTCATGACGCAGCGACACTGCGTTGCCCTTGGGTGGATGCTTCTGTGACTCGGCTGGGGGCTGCGTCTGTCCCGCAACATTTACCGCAACGCTTGTGGTATTAGTGTGCTCGTCCTTTTCAATGGAGTCATCCTGCAGGCTGCCAGTGCCCGCATTGCTGCGACGCTGTGACTTCGGCTTGCGCTTGGCCGAGAGTCGAAAATAGCCGCGCAGACGCTCCTGCTCATCTCTGCGAAATGGAAGGAAATCGGAAAACAAAGCATTGATACAAATGATGCGAAACATACTCAACAAAAAAAAAAAAAAACACTCGTGTAGCGGACAAACAACAAATACAGTGCTGCACGGCTGCCTTTCAGCTGGCATCAAATTATTCAAATCATTTCAAATAAACCAGTAAAACTGACAAATGAATACCATGAATTAAACAACTCGCTCGGCACTTACAAATGCCAAGTACTTACTTTATGCTTTTAAAGACGCGCTGGCAAGTACGAGTTTGAGTTTGCGAGGGCAAAAACTCGTTTGCTCGCTCGCGTCTTTTTTTGAAAAACAAAGGAAATTAAATATCAAATGTACAATCGCGAGTACTTGGAAATGCGTTTATGTGTGCATGACAGTGCTGCAAAATGCTTGGTTGCAGCATTTATGCTGGAAACAGTGTTGAATTATGCAAGGAGTATTTATATAATGCGCGTATTTATGTGGAAACATGTAGCAATATGAATAACAATAGTGAGACTCACCTGGGCAATATCTGCGAGGCATAAATACAAGGAAATATGACTGTGGGCAGAAATGCGACCCACACAAACATCAAATAGGTAAAATCGAAATGCTTCTGATTCTCGTAGGTCTCCTCGAGCGAGAGCCGTGCGAATCTTAGTATCATTAATGGGCACAGACAGACCACCTGGGTGGCGGCCATGCTGCCAAAATTGCGCTGCTTGCGCTTCTCCCGGCAGACGTCCAGCTCGGCGCTGTACAGATCATAGGAGCGGGTGCTTGTTCCATGTCCATTACTTAGCCCGGCCACGCCGCCGCCGCTGTGCGTGCGCGGCTCCGATGATGTCGAGGAGTTCCTGTGCCGGGCAACAAAAAGAACACAAAAATGAAAGGTGAGCAAGAGAAATGTCGAAAAAGTTGTTGAGGAAATCGAAGTCATTAAACTGCCATTGGGTTGGAATTGAGCTCATTAGCAACGGACAAGCTCAGGTGCCCGGCGGTTGCCCGGTTGCTGGGTTGCCCGCTTGCTTTATGGTAACCAATGCCAATACCCACTCTCCCTCTCTAGCTGTCCCCTACCCGTATCCAGTTCAATCTCAATCCGTTCGAACAAAAAAAAATTAATCAGCTCAATTAGCAGAACTGAAACCCAAATCGAAGCCAAACGACCAAATGAATAATGACCCCAATTTATTTCAGTGGCCAGCAAGCGCTTAATATTTTAATTTAATGGCACGTGCCGCAGGTATTTTATGTTTTTCCCCCGTTGCAATATTTTAATATGCCAAATGTGAGCTATTATATTCCGAAATAACAAGGAAAACCCCGTTAAGCGTTCGTCTTCTATGCAAATCAGGAAAACGCTGAATGAATCAGCTAGAAATTTGTATTATTTTATTATTAATGTAGCGCGTATTACACAGCTTTGCTCTGGCAAAGTGTTTTCCTTACATTTTAGACGAGCTTTCCGCCCATTTTACCCCCACTGGAATGAACTGCAACAGATGTTGGCATACTTATTCATTTTTTAACGATGTAGAGCTTTAAATCAACTTCAGGTTAAAACTTAATTTAAGTAAAAACTCACTAAGATCTTTGAAAATTAGTTTGAAGCCGATCGGATGGTAAATAAAAAAAGTTTAGGCAACATTTTTCTGCTCATTTTCCACGTTAACGAGTGAAAATAGCTGCAACCCAACGAAAATTTGCCAGCTTATCTTTTAATCCACATGTGCATCATTTTTTCGGTTGAGCAGTAAGAAAGTCTCCAGTCATGTATCTAATTACGAAACACTTACCTCTGCCTCATGCGGAGATCGACGCGATGCTCGTACATCATGACCGCGAAGGGTCCGTCCGGGGGACGCAGCTCTTGGGAGGTGCGTATATACAAATAGGACAATAGGACGGCCGGGCCACAGTACCTGAAAGCGAACAGTCGTAAAGAAATGCGCTTTTCGCTCAACGCCCGTCGAACCTACATGATTAGAAACAATCCCCGTGTATATTCTTGCATGTCATCCATCAAGTTGACAACGCACAGCCCAATGCCGGACAGCTGTGGTAAGTAGTCCTGCAATTAAAGTACAACAACAAACACAATTAACGCACACAATCGCGTTTATTATTAAAAACAAATTAAGGACTAGTAAATGAGTGGCATTGGGTCGGTGTAAAATTGCCATTTTAATAACCTTGGGCAGATAAACCGAGTCGAAAGTGCTCGACTTAAGACTCAAATATGTTATTTTCAATTTTTTTAGTTTATTCCAAGCTGGTCACATGAACATTTTCCAGCTAGAGTGGTGGCTCTTATAATAAGTGTGAAAAGCATCTTAAGTGAATAGAAATAAGAATAATTCAGCCTTTCTAGTGTTGACCAACACTACAAAATGTAGCCAGTGTCTACAGTTTGTGTCAACAGTTGAAAATGCCAGCAGATGCCTGTTACACACAGTCACGCGATATACCCTTTACTTGCATCTTAAATGACAGGGTATCGAGTGTGAGAGCAAAGACAATACGCTTGTGCACATGCATTCAGTTGAATAGACACTTGCTATTGATTCCAGGTGAGCCCACATCAAAAATATAAAAAAAAAAAAGATAATTGAATGAAATTTCCGCTAAAGTTGAGCACACACGAAAGTTCAATTCGTTGTGTCCCTGGCTGGTGGCCCAGACCCAGGCCCCGGCACAAGCCCTGGCCGTGGCCATGGCCCCAGCTGCTAGCCCTAGGCCCGGTCGTAGCAGATGCCATGGCATGCTCTATCCGTGCATGGCCCCTGGCCTCTACAGTTGCTGCTGGTCTAGCTGCTCCAGCCCACTCGTAATTGTATTGTTAACACCCACCAGACATTCCCACATGTTACGTTGATCAACGCCATGCCGCCGGCTTGTGGCATGCCACCACGATGGTTTTGTTGAGGCATTTTGCGTAATTGTAATTACACATACACATGCGAGTATTTTTCGCTGACGGGAGCGCAGCTGAAAGTTCAATGTGGAGACCAAAAGAAATTTAACGAGAGCAGGAAATTAATTTATGGATAAAAAGTTATTGGCGCAATGGCACGCATGTTGGCAACACATACGTGGCACAGCCAAAACCCATAAGAAAATAATATATATATAGTATTATCTATTAATCCAAGCGCTGCTGACAGAACATTATCCAATTCTTAATGGAAATAACCCGAACGGAAGCGTGCAGATATTGGCCCATGTATTATGTTTACTTCCCGATTACATCTCAAATACGACTCAATTACATCGCGATTACGTTACGAATAAGTTACGAGTATTTTCCGGTTGGGTTTCCCTTACGTCCCGATTACGTAACGAGTATGTTCCAAGAACGTCCCGATTACTTCCCGAGGACGACGTGCCTTTGTCCCGAGTACGTCCCGATTACGTTACGTGCGCGTTGCACATACGTTACGAGTGCGTTGAGACTACGTTACGAGTACGACGCGACTATGATCCGATTACGTTACGTGTATGTGCCGTTACCGTCCCGAGTACGACCCGATTACGTTATGAATATGTTTCACATACGTTACGATAACGTCCCGATGTATGTTCGGAGTGTGTCCCGAGGACGACGCGATTATGTCCCAAATACGATTCCAGTACGTTCCCATTACGTTATGATTACGTCCTCAGTACTTTCCGATTACGTGCCGAATACGTTACAAATATGTCCCACCTGAGTTCTGTCCGCTAGCAACGGACCCAGTCCGGACCAGCGAAAGTTGTAGCTGGGATTGGGCTTACTCTTTGGCATTTCCTCGTTAACATTGGATGTACACATTTTTTGCTTAGGAACTTGGCACTTTGATAAACTTTCTATATTATGTTGCATACGTTAAGTACACACATACACACACACACACACACACACACACACACATGCATTAAATGAAAGACACTCGTAAATGATTTTGTATGAGCAACTATTATAAAGTTTTTGCAGTTCCCTTAACAACAGAGGGCTCCACCAAACTAGAATAAATAAGTAGTCATACATGTAGCCCTCTTGCTCAATATAAGCAAGTCGTAGGGGAGAGGGGAGAGGGCCGATGGCTAAAAAGTTGCGACAAAGTTTAAAAGAGAAAATTACGGAGCGTAAACTACGAGCAATATACATAGGGCGGATGTGTAAAAACTTTTTGACTTGGGCTCAAAAATGTGAGCTAAACATTTTTAGCGACATAAATAAATGGGCGCACTGGCCAAGCCCCCGAATTCTGATGCTGGCTGCCCACAGCAGTCATTTGGGTAATGAACTGTTAGCGCTGTACAATCTGGCCAAGAAATCTGTTTTGCATTCCTTGGCCAACGCACAGCAAAATGCAAATAAAGGACGACAAGAACAACAACAACAACAAGAACAAGGGGCAGCGACATCGACAAAGATGACGATGATGATGAGCCAGAGCTTGAACAGGGGGCAGAGGCTGGCCCCAAAGCGTTAAGCGAAGCAATCTGCGATTTTATTAGGTCTGCGGCCAACCACGATGCCTACAGATCCCGCCAACGCCAACAACATGGCCAATGCGAGCCGGCAACGAGAACGGGCATGAAACGGAAGCTGCACGCAATTTAACGAGTCTTGCGGGTATCTTTTTGATACACTTTCCTTATGAAATATCATAGCAATATCTTGACTATGTCTTGAAGCTTGGCAGCCCGCAAAGCATATTGTAATCTTATATTAAGCCGGTTTTGTACATTATTTACTTTGAAACGAACCTTAAGGCGTTAAAACTGACAGACGACTTGAATTTTTTAAGGCATAGTTTTGACAATTGATCTTTATGGAGTTTTCAGGACCTAACTACGTGCATATTCAAGAGCGCAAATTTATAGATCGTAACATAAGATTGTCTTCTGGGCAGCCAATCATATTGAAGTATTTTTCAGCTCGTGAAATATTTGGTAATTTATTTTAAAGATCCAGCTCTTGTCATATTTGAATTATGCCTAAAGAACGACAAATAAATGACTTGTATATGACAATGTGCCGATGTTCGATCTACATATAAGAGCACAATTTAAGTTATTTCGATACAAATTAAAAAAATAAATAAATAAATAGATAAACATTGATTTATGTTTTGTTAGTATATTCAAGCTTCGACGTTGATTGCTCGACTTGCTCGACATTTTCCTGCTGTTTTTATGTGAACACATTTCTCTTAATTTTTTCGTCATTCTACTTGTTTTTTTTTTTTTTTTGTTTATATTTTTTTTTTACAGTGCTTAGCTGAGTTTTCTGTGCACCGTCTGTGACTGTTTCCGATTTACCATTTAAGCTTTCTGACGCCGACGCGAACACTCAAGCTGGTCGGGAACGGGGCACTGGGAAATCTTTGCCACGCCCGATATGCTGTGTTTTCCCCGTCTATTGAGTGGCGTTATGATTACCTGCGGCTGAAGCAGTGCAATTGATTTGTTCCGTTTGCCTGGCACAAATCAATTTGACGGCAGCCGTAAACAGTTTATGTGCTCTTCAACAAGTGGCAGCCGCATTAAATTGCCGCACATTTAATTTGGGCTTTGAGCCACGCCCACAGACAAAGCCATTTAAAATTTAGCGCGCGTGTCAAATAATTCATTGAACATAACACTAAGCTGAAAGAAAGACCAAAGCCGAAGGCGTTCTATGAACCAAACGCATTAATAACAATTTATTTCCGTCATGCCAACAACAAGCAACAAGCAACAAGCGGCATGTGGCAAGTGGCGCGGGTCTCGGGTCGCGGACCTAGCGGCTAGTAAGGGAGGCGACATTCCGCAGATTCCTGTCGCAAGGGTGAAGCCAGAGACAGAGAGACAGGGAGACAGCCAGGCGGCAGGCAGGCAAAAGAACTGGGCATGAGAATGGAGATAAGTGGGCAAGTGGACTGGAAACTGGTTGATGATGCTATCAGGGGCAAGTGGCAAGCGGCAAGTGCCACACTGACAACAAATTGCAACAGCAGGCGCAAAAGTACTCGTACGCATAATCGTGCCCAATGTCGTCATTTTGACATTGACGAATTGTCTCTCAAGGATATCACAGAAGCCAAAACCTCTGTTTGCCGCGGTATGTCTGTGTATGTGTGTGCCAGTCTGTCTGTCTGTGTTTGTGTGCATGTGTGTGTGTGTGTTTTTTGAAAACTTATAATGAAAAGCACTTAATAATAATTTAGTACAAGCTAAAATGTTTTTGCCCGAGGCCTTTTTGTTTTGAGAAACAACAAACTTCTCCTCCACAAGGCTTTATCAATAAATGAGTTGTGCTAAGCTACACAGTGAATTAAAAGCAAAGCCTGGCATGGGGCTAGTTTCAAGGACCTCTTACAGTTCCTTACTGTGCAGTTAATAAAAGTGAAAAGTACTCATATTAAATAAATAAATATGAAACTTTAAAATAAGAGCTGCATTCGAGCCAGCGTCCTGCCGCTCGTTAGTTCAACGCTCTGGCACCTGAGTCAAGCAGCTCTCAATCATGAATTATTCCCGAACTTTAAGTGATGTTTTGGATGAGCCACATAGAGCTATTGCTTAACTAATATTTGTATCCTAAAAAAAAAGGCTTCGAAATAAAAAGTGAAAACAAATCTCAATAAGTCTGTGTTTAAGCTGATCCTTAAAATATACTAAAGTATTAACATTCGAGCAATTTAAAGTAAAATATTTACTACGGATTTTTTGTGAACAGGAAATTGCACAAAGTTGCTTGCAATTAGCAAAATTGTTGAAAACTTTTCGCAAAGGATATTCAAGAAATTCTGAGCCCTACTCGTTGCTATTCCTTCAACGTAAGCATTATCGCTTTCCATCTTTTCAGCCTTCTGTTTGCAACAGGTTTGCTTCTAGTCAAGAATTTACTGGGAAATAGTTAATAAAGTTTTTCAATCCTTCGCATACATTCTGTTTATCTATTTGCAGCTAACATAAGAAGCTGAATACCTGAAATAAGATACAATATTCGAATATTGAATTCGAATTTGTTTTCTATTCCGCAAGCATCTTCTACTCCTAACAACACACACACACACACACAAACCAATGCAAAGATTAAGT